CTCTATCCACTGAGCCAAACCAGTTTCGGCCAGGGGAGCATCTTAACATCACAGGATTCTTAGCCCACATGTACCTGTGGTATTTTTGAAACAGCTTAACAATGGATTTCAGTGGGCTTTCCTCTAGTACAACGGGATTGATGTGTAATGAAATGATGTTTTGGCCATCTGCAAAAGGAGGTCATTTCCCACCAATCAGAGTAAGCATTATAATCCAAAGGCAGCTAAAGTTCTGATGCTGGAAAGAGAAAAAAAGAAAAGCAAGCTGATCTGGCATGATAAATGGCTGCCTCGGCCTCGCTGCCAAGCACACGCCACATTTCTCTTTAATACTACTCTGTAATCGGACCACTGGCGGACTGGGTACATTTGCCTCCAGTTCTCTGGCTCTGACATCTGAGAGAGGCCATTCCCTTCATGGGGAACGCTGGCAAATCCTAACATTCTTGTCAGTCTTAAAACTGGAGATTTTCTTGAAAACAACTACCTCCCCTTCATTACTTTAGGCAGGTGAGCATGGGAGGAATGATTGCAATTTGCACCAAGCGGTGCATTAGTGGCTTTAAAAACGTCTGACTGATCCCAGATTACATGAAACAAAGGCCCGGATACATTGCTTCTAGACGGACCCATAACAGTGTGCGTTTTCTGAAATTACAGCTTTGGGAGGAAACTAAAACTGCAAGTGAACCTCAGAGCCACAGCAATACACTCAGCACGGACCAACTCTTACAAGAATAAGAATTCTGCAAATCCAGTTAAAACACACACACACACACACACACACACACACACACACACACACCTGTCATTCCCAGGAAAATAGAAAAAAAACAACAATGATTAAAGAAAAACATTCAAAAAAGTAAGTTCTAGGACTGGTCATAGGATCCAGTACAAAACCAGCACAGATGCTCCTATAGACCTCAGTGCAAAGCATGAACCTTGAAGCAGACCATTAATCAAAAGCAGCTTCTGAAGCATGTCAATACAGTTTTAATGAGGCGTGCTCTACCAGATCCTACTTTGCTGTAAAGTCATGCTTCATTTCCATTTAAACATTCACCATACTTCATATTTAAAAAAATTAATGAGAATACCGATTCCCCAGGCCATTCTGGATGGTGGGAATCTATTATGGCCTCTTGTTCAGCCTTAGTAGGTAGATGGGGCCCAAGGCTGGCCTCCAGACAACAGGTGCCTCTCCAGCAAAAGTGAACTGCTACTCCTCAGTGGTCTGGCTCTGAGAAAGGAATGTCTTTCAAGTTTCTAGGTGTTTTTATTTTAATTATGTGAAAATTTAAAAATATATAGTTTTATTGATTTCAGAGAGGAAGGGAGAGGAAAAGATAAAAACATCAATGATGGCCGAAACCGGTTTGGCTCAGAGAATAGAGCATCAGCCTGCGAACTGAAGGATCCCAGGTTCGATTTCGGTCAAGGGCATGTACCTTGGTTGTGGGCACATCCCGAGTAGGGGATGTGCAGGAGGCAGCTGATTGATGTTTCTCTCTCATCGATGTTTCTAACTCCTTATCTCTCTCCCTTCCTCTCTGCAAAAATCAATAAAATAAAATAAAATAAAAAATAAAAACATCAGTGATGAGAAAGAATCACTGATCAGCTGCCTTCTGCATGCCCCACACTCGGGAGCCAGCAACCTAGGCATATGCCCTGACCGGGAATCGAACCATGACCTCCTGGTTCATAGGTCGAGGCTTAAGCACTGAGCCACACAACAGTTGAGCATTTTAATTATGTGAATTTTAAATTATTCTCCATAATACATCTTTTTTAATAGTTTAGATTACTAATGAATTAAATTATTTAACAGTTTTCCCCAAATAGATAAGACTGACACATTAGGAAAACGCACCATATTTAACCTGTTGTTAAGTGATCAGACCCAAAGGTACCCAGCATGGTTACCCCAGCAGGAGAAATCGGGACTCCTGGTGCTGTTTAGCTACACCACACCCTGGCTTCTTCCTCGGAGTCAAAATCACCCCAAAAAGATGAAGTGGTCATATACACATTATGGAGAGTCAAGGAAATGATAACATAAATAAAAGTATCCAGCTCGTTCCCACAACCAACACCTGCCTCCATCCCCTTTCCAGCCCCATTCTACTGAACATGAAGTTAAATGTGGAAAGGCAGTGCACTCTGACAGTAATCTATGAGATGCTGCATGCAACATCATGTATCAGGGACAGACACAGTGTGGCACTTCAACCTGGGTTCAAGCTGCCTCCTGCATACTCAACCTCAGGGCTGATCTCTCCCACCCAGTATGTAGCAAAGGTGAAAGATGGCTCCTTCATTCACCATCAATGCTGCCATTTCCTTGGGGAGCCCAAGTACAAGTGGCACATGCAGCAAGGGAACCAGCCGACCAGATTTCCATAAAGGCAGCAATGTGCACCTCTCTGAAATGAAGGGTGGCGAGGGAATCACAGAGAAAACACGCAGCTGCAGTAAAACCCTTCGGTAGCCATAAGAATAAAAGAGTCTGTTAAACACCAAGACGAGTCTACTGAGAAAATGTTGCTAATCATTCATTCTAGGTTTGGTTTATTCTAAAACACAATCATAACTATATTGGCAAACTAAACTAAAACCCTGCTAAGCACACTTTCAGGCTGAGTTTAAAAGAAAATGAAGCCTCTGCAGCTGACCACATTAGGGATCTGATCTTACCTTCAAGCTCTGCCCACCTCTTCCACATATGATTCATCAAAACCCTCCAACCGAGAAAAAGGCAGACACACAGCACTTCTAAACCACATCTTGTAATACTGCCTTTTAGGATTGTTGAGAATTAAACACAGACATGCAGGTAAACTGCTCAGCACAAGGGTTGCTACAAAGCTTGGGAAGGGGGCTGGTGGAGACAATTAGCACCACATCAAATTAAAAACCTCCTCCTGACTTTCAAGGACACCTCCTACCTTTCCAACTTTATATTTCATTATTTCCCAACAGAGTGTTTTCTCTGACCCCACCCCCCAAACTCACATTTCCTAGGCACATGCCCAAATTCTATACAAAATCAGATCTAACCAATCCAATGTTCAGACCAATGTTTAAAAACCAGGCTATCTATAATAATAAAAGCATAATATGCTGATTAGACCCGATAGCCAAACAATCTTCCAGATGTCATTCTGGACATTCTTCTGGATAAAGCCACAGAGGTGGGGGCCGAGGCAGAGGCGGTTAAGGGCAATCAGGCAGGCAGAGTGATGAGGGGCCATCAGGCAGGCAAACAGTTAAGGGCAGGCAGGAGAGTAGTTAGGAGCAATCAGGAAGGCAGAAGAGTGGTAAGGGGCATCAGACAGGCAGGCTAGTGGTTAGGGGTGATCAGGCAGGCAGGAGAGTGGTTAGGGGTGATCAGGCAGGCAGGCAGAGGGGTTAGGGGCAGGCAGGCAGGCGGGGGAGTAGTTAAGAGCTAATGGTCCTGGATTGTGAAAGGGTGCAGGCCGAACTAAAGGGCACCCCCACCCCGTGCACAAATTTCGTGCATTGGGCCTTTAGTATTACATATAACTCCAAATGTATGGCTCCTCCAGAAAAATCTGAAAATAAGCAACAGACACCATATTCCCACAGGGCACCACGTGCCTGAAGCAGAGGGGTCACTGCTCTCAGATGGAGCCTGCCAGCCAGACCCCTTGTCTACACGAAGTCCACTTCAGTGTTTTATGTCACCTCCCTGGCTCTTGGTTTGGGACCCCCGATTCTGAGTCTATAGAAGATATATCTGCAACACATCCAACCTTCTTTCTTTAATACTCATCTAAGGAATGTGCTTGTCCAGCCAGGACCCATCATATTTCCCATTCTCCTCTTCACCGCCATCACAAGCACCTGAATAGCTGGCTTTCTTGTCTGGGTCATTTACCTCAAGAAACCTCCTTCTTCCCACTTCCTGAATTATTACACACAAAAGATAGCAAGTTCATGTGCTATCTTCAATAGGCTCCACTCTGTCTCAGACAGCTGCCTCTAAACTGGGAGTCTGTGACTCTATAAACATAAAATAGCTTCACTCTGGACCTTCCAGAACACTGTGAAGAGTTTGGTGAATGGCATGCATCTCCTGAACTCACGTTTTTTTCCTAGTAAAACTATTCTGGAATTCATGCAATGAAATTAAATATATCATTACAATATATGAACAATTTTTCAAACCTCACCAACGAACCAGGACTGGCAACTGATAATTATATTCAAGAAGACATGGGACACAGGAAAAGAACAGAGGACTGGGATTCAGGGCTCAGCTTCCAAGGCTAGAACTCACTCACAGGCCAAATGGTGCAATAACTCAGTTGGCCTCTCGGGGCCTGATTTTATTTTATTTTACCTTTTTCAATATTTCCCATGGCTTTTCAGATATTTTTTAATACTTTTGAACATTTCAAAAAATATTATGGTGCCAGTTAATCTAAGGCATCGTGTTAGGACAGATGATTTTGAATCTCAAAAAACAAAAATAAATTAAATATTAAAAAATAGATGTGAACTCGCTTCAAAAACTGCTTTTGTGTTTTATGCCGTTTCAAACTAGAAGTGAAGCCACCGAAGCATTCCCTGGGGTAGATTTGCGTGCTGCTTGGCCGCAAGAACTTCCACTATGGAAGACTACTTTCTACAGCCTGACACCACCCACTGCAAACTGCCCGCTGCGTGTGTGGCGTCCTCTGCTCCCTGCCTAACAGTGAGCTTCTAGAAACTGAAAACAAGCCAGTGGGGGGGGAGACAGGGTGAAATCAACTTCAGAACGCCTGTCGTGGGCTTTATGAACACAGGGGAGGGTGCTGAAATGAAGACAAACATATGAAACCCATCTTCTCTGTCTGGAGGCATCTCATGGTGGTGTCTGGCTGTAGAGAGAGGTTTCCTGGGGGTTTTGAATTCTGCGTGAGAAAAGGTACTCAAAAGCCACCAATTATGAGCCCCGACCCCAAGTGAAGCCACACGAACAAGGAACGTACCAGGTCGATCAGGTCACTGAGGTTTTTCTCAATTTGCTGTGGAGGCAGGCGCCTCATTAAGTCCAAGGCACAGTCCAGCTGCTGATCACTCTGTGAAAAAAGAAATGAAAGTGTCTAAGTCATTTTGCCAACAGAAACACCAAAAACTCTCTTTTAACAACATTTTTGCAGTTTCAGCTTGCTCAGGGTATGCTAAGACCAAGCAGGTCTGCAATGGGCCCTCGGCCCCGTGTCCTGGAGTGACACTGCCAGTCCCTCTTTGATAGCAGTGTTTGTCTCAAGTGGAGGCGTCCAAAAGACAATCAAAGAAGTGGGAGGCAGGCCAGAGAGTTCAGAAAGTGACCCTGCTCTACCCACATCAAAGTGTCATTGGCTTCTCAGCAGACCACAGGAGTCGCAGATGTATTGACTCCCGATGGGTTCTGCAGTCGGCATGCTCGAATGGCAGATTAAGCTTTATCCTTTCCTGTAACCTGGATTTAAACAGGTAACATTAGGTAGCACCACCAGCCCAGGTTCCTTGATGAGCTCTAAGCCAGGAAGACAGCCAGGCAAAGAACAAGCAGCAAAATACACACAAAGGCTAGGTGCTTCTGTCATTCGCTCAAGCTTGGTACATTTTCCATGGTGCCAGCCTCTTGCAAAATAGACAAAGACCTGAACCAAACCACTGACAGCCAAGAGCTCACACTAGCTGGCCAGTGGACCACAAGGCAATACCCTGGCGTCACTGCTGCTGCAGGGGCCAGGGAGGATCAAGATTACTCTTGTTTACCGAGCACCTTCTTTCAGCCCCGTGTGCTTCACAAAATGCTCTTCAATTAATTTCACGATGCAAATATTTACTGAGAGCCACCGCCCTGTGCCAGTCACCACAAATATGCAGTGAATGGTGAGGAAGAAGGGACAATTACGTGGGGGCAAGACTGGTAAAGTGCAAAGTAAATTCAGTGAGAGTGGGCTGTGACACAGAAGGCCAGACCTCAGGAGGACCAGGAAGAAATCAGGTGAGAAAGGAGGGCCCAGTAAAATGGTAAAGACTCTGAGGAGGACACAAAAGGCAGGTGGAGCTCCCAACACTACTGGTCAGAAGCACTCTCTGATCTGTATCCTGATTCTGTTCTGGTCAGGCAGATCTCAGGATTTTTAAAAAAAATATATATTTTATTGATTTTTTTACAGAGAGGAAGAGAGAGGAATAGTGTTAGAAACATTGATGAGAGAGAATCATCGATCAGCTGCCTCTTGCACAGCCCCTACTGGGATGTGCCCGCAACCCAGGTACATGCCCTTGACCAAAATCGAACTCAGAACCTTTCAGTCCGCAGACCGACGCTCTACCACTGAGCCAAACTGGTTTCAGCAAATCTCAGGATTTTTTAAAGCCTTAAATCAAGCTAAGGAATCTTCATAAAATATACAAAGTAATCCTGGAAATGCCACGTTTGGTTGTAATGAAATAAAACCTTTTACTATGATCATCTACACTTCGGATATATTAACTTTAAACAGGTTCAGGGACAAGGATCTGTTTTATATTCACCAAAGACATAACACATTAAGTTAACTGGAGACAATTTCATTTTCAGGTAACTAATATGGCATATACAGCAGGCTATTTAAAAAGGGGGGTCAGTAAGATTTAGCCCCTACTCAAGATGGTTATCAGCAAAACTGGCTACCTGCAAAGAAACACACACACACACACACACACACACACACACACACACACACACACACCAAAAATTTTGTAGCACTTGTTTTGCTTAATGAAACATTGTAGCAACTATGAATTTCCTACTTGTGTCATGCCTTCTATGCTAGCCAAGGCCACGGTGACATGCGTCTGGCTCGCTGGCATGGGAAAACATTTTAACACCATTTCTAAGGTCGAGAACACAGACCAGCTGATTTGACACTAGTGAGACATATTCCATTCTCAATTCTGCCATTCATTAACTTATAGCCTTAGGCAGAGTTGTTAGTCTCTACAAGCCTCTATTCATAAAATAGAAAACATACTAGTACACTTCATAGGGTTTTTGTAATTATTTAGTTAATATCTATGAACTGTTTAATTCATAGCAGTATGTTTCTGTATGTATGCAAATACATGTCTTAAATGTTTTAAAATAAAAATATTTTATAACATTCACTTCACTCAACCCAACCCCGAAGCCTTTCTTGTTGCTCTACATTGGAGGTAGGTGTTCGAACCCATAGTTGTGTGTGTGCCCCATTGGTCGTGCAAGAATAGAAAACCTTAAATCATTCAAGTAGGCTAGATAACAAGTATAAACTAACGAGCCAAAGACCTCCCAAAGAAGATATACAGGCAAATAAACATGAAATAATGTTCAACATCATGTCATCGTAGAAATGTAAATTAACAATGAGATACCATTAAACATTTGTAAGCATAGCCAAAATCCAGAATGCTGACAAGAAATGCTGACATCAAATACTGACAAGATTGTGGAGTGACAGGAACTCTCATTCCCTGCTGGTGGGAATGCAAATGATACAGCCACTTTCAAAGACAGTTTGGTGGTTTCTTACAAAACTAACAGATTCTTACAATTCAACAGCACACCTTGGTCTGTACCCAAAAAAGAAATGAGCTACCATACTGTCAATAATATTGCAGTAACTATATATAGTGCCAGGTGGGTCCTAGGAATATCAGGGGGAACACTCTATAAATATTTGATTGTGTAACTATTATGCTGTACACCTGAAATTAACACAAAATACTATTGAATGCAAACTGTAATTGAAAGTAAAATTCAAAAATAAGAAAAAAGCGATGTGCTATCAAGCCATGAAAAAAACTTACATGTAAATTACTAAGTGAAATATTAACATATCAATCTTAAAAGGCTACAGTAAGTGGTATTCCAACCATATAACATTCTTGAACAGAGAGTAAAAAAGATCAATGGTTGCCAAGGGTTGGCGGAGAAGCGGGGGTAAATAGGCAGAGCGCAGTCGGTTTTCAGGGCAGTGAAACCACTCTGTGTGACACTATAAATGGTGGATATGTGTCATTATAGATTTGTCCAAACCCACAGGGGAGGCTACACATGTGTGAGGACAGGGTTTATATGGGCAGCCTCTGTACCTTCTGTTCAATTTTGCTGTGAACCTAAAACTTTTTAAAAGGGTGTAAACTAACTAGTGTTTCTTTACTGGTGCTGATTTTGCCCTTGCCACAAGCCCTCACTGACAGGTGGCAATGTTTAAAGACCATTTTGGTTGTCATCACTGGGAGAGGGGAAGCTACTGGCATCTCATGGGTAGGGACCAGGGATGTTTCTAAATACCCTACAATGCACAGGAAAGACCCCAACAACCTGGCCCAATATGTCAGTAGAGTCAAGTTTGAGAAACCATGGTTTAAAACAATCAGTTTTGGGGACTAAAGACTCCCTGACTCAAAGCAAAGTTAAGGCCCCAGAAAAACTGGACATACAATTCTAATTCGCAGACCATTTACAACCCCTAAAACCTCTGGTCTTTGGAAATATTCTGAACTTGGATATTAACAATCTTCCTGAGAACTAAAATAGAATTATAGACACAAGTAAGCCTAGCTACACTGAAGCTTAAGTCCAGAACACACTGGGATTCAGAAGGGATCAACTAGGAGGTGGGCAGTGCATTACCTAGGAAAAGAAAAGCTGTAACTTGACCAGAGAAGGTCAGCAGGAAAAGACACTGCTTTAACCTAACGTCCACAGCGCCCGTTCACACTGCCCGTTCACACCACCATCTCAATATGCTGACTGTAGCCTCGCCCCACATGCCAGGGCTCAGAACGGCTTCCTTCCACACAGTCCTCTGTACCTAGCTGAAAGCACGAAAATACGACTGCAAAAACTGTTTAACTCCTATTTTTGCATTAATCCCAATTAATTGGCAATATTTCACTACACATTTCTAAGGTTAAGGATATCTAATTTTCATTAAATTAGTAAATGACTAAAAGCTTCCCATAAGGCAAGCAACATGGGAAAACTTAATGACAGCCTGTAAAAAGTTCAAATTAGCGTTAACTGGAACTCTTTATGTGGGAGTCATCCCAAATCATGCGGGGTCCAAACAGGAAATGGCACAAGAGAATGAGGAAAACATGGATGATCTAAGTTCCATGCATCAACACAAGTGACCCCAGAAATAAACTGATGGTGGGAGGAGGAAGCAGGTCCCAGGGGACCACCTAGGATTCTGCCACTTTTATAAAGTTCAACAAGACATACTGAACTAGAATTTAGATATAAACACACACATATGTGTACATGTGTATTTTAAAAGACTATAGCAAGGCTTTTTTTTCCCCCCCTTATTAGCTAAGGCAAGGGAATGGTAAAATTAAAGTTCAGCAGAGTGAAAAGATTAGTTTTAAGAGGAAAAGGCACTTGGGGAAAACAAAATTTGATGTTCATGTAGATCTTGCATAAAATGCTGGGTTCGAGGATATTCATATCATGATGCTAAAATCTTTTATGTTGATATTTTCCTTTATGGTTATCAGCTGGAAAAAGTTTAAGTTGATTTTTGTGTATGGCATAAGACTGGGGACCAGTTTCATTCTTCTGCATGTGGCTCTCCAATTTTCCAAACACCACTTGTTGATGAGACCGTCCTTTCCCCACTGTGCATTCTTGGCTCCTGTGTCATAAATTATTTCTAGGCTTCTACTCTGTTTCATTTTCACTATTTTACTTCACTAAATATTTTCCCAATATAACTAAAAAATAAAAACAGAACAGGCAAAGACAGAAATGGGATTCATACGCTGAGTCCAAGGTCTACCCTGTCGCTTGATGTCTATGAGACTTAACCCTGTGGCCTAGGATTTGGGCTGGACAGCTGCTAAGAGTCCTTCTGGATGGGTCCCATATCCTAGAGCCGTGGTCGACAAACCGCAGGTCACGAGCCACATGAGGCTCTTCAACAAAATACCCCGGCCTGGGTGAATCTATTTTGAAGAAGTGGCGTTAGAAGAAGTTTAAGTTTAAAAAGTTTGGCTCTAAAAAGAAATTTCAATCATTGTACTATTGATATTTGGCTATTGATGAATGAGTTTG